CGCAATGCGTGAAGTATCCCTGTTAGGTTTGCAGGCGCCAATGCGCGCCGCAGCGTACCGCGGCGCTTGAAGCAACTATTTCACACCAGAGGTATTGCACAGTATCATACGAAATTGAAGACGCTCCAACATATCGACGGTGAAACTACCAAACCACGTATCTCGGTTTGCGACGTCGCAGACTTCCTGTCATACTTTATTTTTTAAATAAAAAACTACTTAACGTCTAGTCTTGAAAATTTCTGTGATTTTTCCTCTTCGTGCGGAGAAAATTCTGTGAAAATTTCAAGGAATGATATTGATTTGGTTTACTTCAAAAAAATAAAATGCTCCGAGCGTAGATTTTTAAACACCGCAAACGAGATACGTGGTTTGGTGGTTTCACCGTCGATATTAGGAATGTCAGGTATCCTTCAAAAGAACGGAGCTTTCCTCGCAAAATAAATCAAGATACTACGGCCCAAAAAGAGAGCAGTGTTCCAAAAACTCACTAAGTCCTAGCATCCGTAATTAGTGACATTTAGTATACACTTCATCGCCTGGCTGTGAGTTGCTTAATCGTCATCGGCTATAAAAGGCTGTAAGAAATTGTGTAACCGGCTATAGAAGCTATTGGAAATCTTACAGCCGTCCGTAGGTCTTTGGTATTTTGGAACGCAGATTCTACTGCCAATTTTTACCAGGGAGGTCCAGAGTAGGCATGAAAATTTAGAAATTGAATTTCCTGACCTTTGTAGATTTTTCCTAACTAATTTTGAGAAAGTTCTCTGACTCTTGAGTTCTAATACTGGTTGATAAATGGACGTTCATAAAATAATTTAAAGATTTTCCGATCCGTTTTGCCCGTTTTCTCGATTGATTCTCGGGGTTGGAGACTTTTTAAAACACAAAGTTTCAAGAATTCAAACCATGACAGAAAACTTTGTCCTGAGGCTCGCAAGCCACGGAAAGTCTCTATCTGACTCTCTAATAAAATACGGTTAGCACAAACCATCATGAAAGTGAATCGAGAGATTCAGATTTCAAAGCCCATGATTAGGAACATGTAACACTCAGTTCCATCTTCGAACGCGATGTGTTAAAATTTTGCAAGAACCGGAATAGTATTCAAATCACTGTAAGTATAAAAATACTCACTAGTTTGAACAAAAAAGAAATGAATAAGATGAAATTGGCTCAAATCCGTGAGTATTTTTATATTTTAGTCAATCTAAGACTCTTGGAGGATGTATTCTTATCGATCTGTTTTTGCCTATCCGATTGAATGAAGGCGGCTCCTTTGCGCATTCGGATCCACGTGCCACGTCCTCAGGCACGAGGCACAGTTCCCCTTCATTTCGACCGGATGGGCAAAATCGGATGTACACTGAGGTGCTGACCATATAGCCGAAGTTTCAAGCTGGCTAGCTCTGCCGAGCCATGGTAATTAAGACGCCGCCGTGTGGATATTCTAATGTCGCCGAATTTCCTTTTTTTTGCATGGGAAATTTATGAGTATTTTTCCTTGCTTTTTGCAAATGCTGTAGGTAAAATTGCGAAATAAGTTCTCTGAAAAATTAAATGAAAATTTCCAACTGTTCGTGTGATGAATTCGAAAAATGAATCGTTGCAACGTCCCTCTCAATTATTTCCCAAAAAATGACTGAGAATACGTAGATGCATACCTTAAAATTCTGAGTTCCGTGATTCTATAAAAAAATATTAATGATACATTTTCAGTTTATGGCTAGACATTTTTTCACAGGTTTTTCTATTTTCGGTTTTTCCCGTGTTCTAATTTTACTTCAAGTGGTTAATTTCAAACAAGTGAGTGTGTACTGCTGACTTTGGCGTGTGGTCCGTCAGTGGTACTTATACCAGGGAGGCTCCCTCTTCCTAGGTTAAAAAAATAAGCATAAAAATAATGTTAAAAAATCTTCAAAAATTGCAACACCAAAAATCCCGAAAATATACTAAAATTTGAAAGAATGCATACCTACTTGGAAGTCTTGCAGTTACAAAAATCGTAAAAATTTCTCGCCGAGTTAAGTCAATTGTTGTGAAGAGTGGAAAGTATCATCAAATGTTGCCAATATTGTGCAACTATTTCTCTAATTTAACGGGAATCTAGCTGTCTGAGATTACAAATTCTTGAATTGAGAATAAATTTCGAGTGAATTTCCTATTTAAAAGGCCACACAGCAAAGAAGCTCTAGCTCTTATACAGTGGAAAGTGCTAAGAACAAACATGACAACGCCTGATGACACTGCGACAAGGATTTGAATTTCTCTCTAAAAGTGTAATTCTGATGACAACATTCTCTATCTCCTTGTTGTTAATTTTGGAAACGAGATCATCGAAAGTTTAAAAGAATCAGTACATAAAAACATGTCTGATTATTATTGATGATCGAGTAATAAAATTGGTCTTGTAGCATGTAGCAATTGCATGAAATGATACAGATTTTGAGGTGTAAAAAAAAATCCAATGCCAGTTTTACCTCATAGTTTTGTCAAGAAATGGACCCACTACACCAAGAGGCACATTTTAAAGCTGCCTCTTGCCAAATAATTTATTTCATGAATCGTAAACTAAAACTAATTGTATGCGAGCACTAAATATTTCATATTTATTTAATAAATTCAAATCGTTAACTCTCGCGTTCGCATTTAACTTTAATTATCTAGTTTTACGAACAAGATTTTTTTGGAAATAAGCAGCTGAAATGTACCCCAAGGCGTAATGGATACCTACGCTTTTCGCCAAAAATTCAGAGTGAAACCCATCGGCCCGAGTGGCATAGAACAATGAAAATATTGAAAAGAAATTGCGATTGGTTGCAATAAAATTGATTTTTTTTTTTTTTTTTTTTTTTTTTTTTTTTTTACATTATTCGGCCTCAACTGCCGATTACCAGCAAACTATTAACAAAGTGAGCTCACGAAAAGTAATATGGAAAGCAACGGAAAATTGCAACTTATTTCAGTTTTATCGCAAAAAATTTCAGTGTGCCTTCAATCAGTAGATATGCAACATACACAGCACTCCGATGCTGTAGCGATAATATCATGTAATTGCAAAATATTGCGATCTGTGCTACCTCCGTATCTACCAATAGTTCCAAATCGACAAGTTTGGTCATTCCCGCTGTAGATTCTCCTAAACTGCAGCTTTTCTCATTAAGTGCAACTCCAAAACTGCAGTGCCGAGGAAAAACACCGTATGAACCTTCAGGCGTTGCCAAATTTCCTCTGATAAAATACGAATTTATTGAGGGAATCGTAAATATTTTTCTTCCAATTTTTCAGACTATTTTGTTCGCAATTTAATCTAAAATATCTGAAAATTTCAAGAAAGAATAAGCATAAATTTTGTCATAAATACATGTTTTATCCGGGGAATTTGGCAACTCTTGAATGTTCATACGGCGTTCTTCCTTAGCACGGCAGAAAAACTGCGACTACTTTGCAACCTTTGCGACCTTATCGACAGTGAAACTCACGAACCTCGAACCTCGGTTTAAGACGTTGCAGACTTCCTATACTTCAATACCGCCATACTTCATTTTTCAAATGGAAAACAATTCAACGGCAAGTCTGAAAAACTGCAGCGATTTTCCTTCGATTTGCGAAAAAAATTCTGTGAAAATTTTAAAGAACGATGTTGATTTATTAGCTTTTTACAAAATAAAATAGGAGCAGAAATTTTAAAACACAGCTCACGAGATACGTGGTTTAGGAGTTTCATCATCGTTGTGTACATCATTTGCTAACCACAAATAATTCCCTTTGCGAGGCGGCGGTCAGGTATACTGCCGTGCTAAGGAAGAACGCCGTATAAACATTCGAGAGTTGCCAAATTTCCTTCGGTAAAATGTCTATTTGTAAGAAAAGTTAAGATTGATATTTTCAGGAATTTTATGTGAAGTTGCGAGGAAAATCATCCGAAACATTGGTAGAAAAATATTCATAAGTTTAACAGGAAATTCGTGTTTTATCAAAGGAAATTTTGCAACGCCTGAAGGTTCATATGGCATTTTTCCTTGGCACGGCAGTACAAGGTCGAGGTTGAAAGAATCGCAAGGGGTGCATTACACAAAAAATATGGCTGATTATTGGTCACCGAGTCCTAAAACTGGTCCCGTAGCGCACTGCGACGCAGATACAAAGTGCATACGGCCGAGATTACCGAACTACCACTTCCTCTGCTTAGGTCTCCTACCTTGTGAATGAGGTCGTTTACAATAAAATCCGGAAGCACGTGATGCAACACCCCTATCATGCCCCCTCCCCTCCCCCCGGGCATTCGCGAATCCGGGTTACGTAATAACCCGTCACAAGAACCCATTCATTCTTGCAACAACATGTGACATGCGACGGAATCAAGCGTCAAAAAGGTGCGAATTGAGCTTTGTGGTTAATCGCACCGCGTTTGGCGGAAAGGAGCCAAGCCCCATCAGCTATATTGCTAAATTTAAGTGGGCAATTTTATTTTCTTACAAGAGAAAGTTTGTACGCATTTTTTTGAAATTTTAAGGAATTCGCTTCATAATATACAGAAAATTGACAGAAATTTGAATCGGTCAGAACGAAAACACACCAACTCGGTTACTGTAAAATCCTCAATTCGCATTAAGGACAGTCAATTTTCATAAAGGTCATTGAAGTTAGCGAATCTGTTCCAACTTGGACCTGTAAAGTTTTCTTAAGTACCTGTCTTTCGGCACCAAAAATGTTTTTCTTGGACTTACTTCTTCACCTACTGTGCAGTTTTGTGTGCGTCCTCATTATTTTCATTTTTTCGAGTTATGGTGTGTTTTCGTTCTCACTGATTCATTTGCACAAAGCTCCGCACAAACGTTTGCATGTCAAACATTAGAATTGGCCGATTAATTTGGCAAAAGCTGATGTGGCTTGGCCTCTTCCTGATTAACGCGGTCCAATTACGCATGCTGTTATTAGCTCCTCCACCCCGAAGGTTCAAAGGCGTCGTTTTTTACGATTATGATGTTAGTACTCACAGAAAACGGGCATCCAAAGCGGGCAAAGATTTCAAGCTTGAAACCTTTGAAGAACCTTCCCGGAACTAGCGGCATGGAGCTGCACACGAACCACTATCGAGAACAGTCGGGAGACTGAAAAGAAACGCCCGAAGGAGAGAACTTTCGCTGAGGCCGCACGAGGGTCCACAACTGGGGGCTGCCAACGTGAAAGCTCGAAGTTTCCGGGGAAAGTTCACGGGGAAACACGTTTCAGCAGCATTGTTCGGTCGAATCGCGCGGAGGAGAGCTCGCGATGCGCCGACCGGGGAAGGAAAATCACAGACGAGGCCCGTTTTTTTCGAGTCGGGAGTCACCAGGTCGGACCGCCGGCGGGATCGCGTTGGGGTCGGGGGGCGGTTTCGAGCACATTTCGAAGGGTCACTCTCCGGAGAAATCGGGTATGATGACACTTGGCGAAAGTTCCTGCGGGAATGTTGCGTGGGAGAACACTCGGAGGAGGAATGTCGGGGTGACGGTTGCTCGCCGTGTGGTATCCGCCGCGTGCGCAGGCGCTGCGCGGGGGTAGGATCAATATGTGCGTCCCTCCGTCCGGCCCGCTGCGATGGGGTGGCTCTGCCGTCCAGGCCGTGCTTAGTAAGAAACGCGTATCTGGATAGGGTTTGCGCTACGGATAAGCGGTTCTTGCTCGGTACCAGTGGCGAGGCGTGTTTTGCGATATATCGATTGTCCTGCCGTTTAAACCTATGGTAAATAATCGATTATTAAGGTGTTCGCTGCGAACACCCTGATTATCGATCCTTTTCCATAGGTTAAATGGCATGACATTCGATGGATCGCAAAGCACGCCACGCCACTGCTCGGTACCTCAGAGCTGGGGCTAAGTTCGGTCGTGTTGTGAGGTGAGTTGTGCCAGGCGAGCTGCTCTCTGATTGGCTCTTTGATCGCAGCCGAACTTCGCTTAACGCTAGCACATGGTATGCGCGGTAAAGCTGGAGAGAATTATCAATGGGTCAGTTTCCAGTCACCAGAATCGTAGGTATTTTGAAAGTCGGTTTTTTTATATCAGAGAATAATAAGATCTGTTCAAATGATGAGTTTTCACGTCCAATATTAACGGATATTTCAGGCATTGAAAAACGAGGTGTAGGTATGACGTCATCGGGAACGATAGTGTATACCTACCACGGTTTCTTCCACTTTTGTTTCATCAATCAGTACTATACACGCATTTCTAGAGTGAAACTACCAGACCACGTACCTCGTTTACGGGGTTTAAAATCTCCGCTTCCATTTCACTTTTTGAAGGAGAACGAATCAATATCATACCTTTTAGTTTTAACAAGGTCTCCTTCGCACAGAGAGGAAAAATCTCGTTAGTTTTCAAGAATTGACGATGAGAAGTTTTTCATTTAAAAGGTAAAGTTTTAAAGTATTTTAAAAATAAAGGATAAAAATAAAGTAATAGACAGGGAGTCCACAACGTTGCAAATCGAGATTCATGGTATGGTTACTTCACCTTTGATTTGCAGTGGATATGTTCGACGTAGAACATGGATGAATAAGGTGGAAGGAATGTCGCCGTAAGCACTACCGCGTTGGATGGTGTGTTGCGCCGTGGTTTTTGTCGTTCCATTTACGTCAATGTTGGATTAGGAAATTTTTGCGTGTCGACAGATCCAACGTTTTTAACTTTTCTCCCGATTCGAAGCGACACCTCGTGTTACCGGATGGAGCGGGGCATTGCGAGTCCGCATCTCGCGCCATCGCGCCTTCAATTCTGCGTACGCAACACGGACATCCATCGAGCACGAATAGTTGTATCTCTGCGCCGTCAGCTGTGTTCATCTTCTCCTTTGCTCTATCTCCATAATACGCGAGATAGAATATCTCGAAAGTAACTTATCATATTAGTATGTCCTCTTAGAAGAAAAACCTGCTGTTTGACGCGCTATCAAACTAACCGGGTGATGTCGATTTGATTTATTTAGATTTTTCATAATACACCGACATGATGATAATGGTGAAATCCGAGGACACGTAAATTTGCGGCGTTCCAAATTTTTGTCACATTTTCTTTCGATGGATAACTAATGAACATTATTACTGGGGCTGAGCATTAGTACTAAAACTTTTACCGTCCTTTCGATGCTAAAGTGCTGAACCACGTATCTTAATTGCGGTGTTTTAAAATTTCCGCATATATTTTATTTTTTTGAAGAGAAGCAAGCCAAATTTATAGCTTGAAATCTAAACATAGTAGGTATTCTGCTCAGAGAATAGAAAAATCGAGGAAATTCTCAAAAAATGATACCTACGCGTTGACAACTAGCTTTACGAAGAAAAAATGAAGTATAGAAGGGATAGACAGCAACGTCGCAAACGGAAATGCGTGCTTTTGCACTTGGCAATTGCTTTGTAAAATATATTGGGTACTAAGAAGAATCGGATTTATAATGGGACTAGAGCGCGCAATTGGGAAAAAAAAAAAAAAAAAAAAAAAAAAAAAAAAAAAAAAAATCTGCACATGGAGAAACTAATGGTGAATACGTTGTTTCTAAAATGAATCAGCGATATAAATAACTCATTTGCGTTTTGAAGGTCAATTAGAGGATAATGATTGAGTTTCCGATGCGCTGGGGTAAGTCTGAAGTATGTGCGTTTTATCAGATAGCTTAACGACTTTTTACAGCAAGTAAAGTTTTTATTATGACAATAAAAATGTACCTTCCATGACGCAATTTCTACGGGCGTGATGAAACCGTTGGATATCTTTTAACATTTTTTTACGCCGTAAACGATTTTTCTTGTCGTAATGATACGTATCCTGGAGGTTGGGAATTATAAAAGCAACGATATCCATTTGCTTTGATTATAAAAGAGGCCGATGTTTGAAAACACCTAAGTCTCCATTGCGATGTTTCAAAATTTCCGATCCTATTTAATTTTTTTGAAGAGGAACAATGCAATTTATTGGCTTGAAATCGATAGAGGGAGTTTCCCAGAAATTGCGTTGTCTTGTTGTCTGCAAAAAAAAATTTAAGTATGACAGCACATAACGTCGCAAATGGAGATTCGATTTCACACTTTGACCATCGGTAAGTATTTAATAAATAAAATAATGGCGGAGATTTTAAAACCTCGCAATCGAAAAAAATTTATCGATTTCTACCATAGGAACAACGGTAGTATAAAACGACTCATTTAATTTCAAAGTAGCTCAAATCACATAACCGCTTATTCGAAGGAGAATCTTCGGAGCGAGAGGATATTCGCAGGATGCACTTTACCAAAACCGGTGTTACCTATGTCACATCCTTGAGAAGCCAAAGATTTGCAAAAGAAATAGACTGCGATAAATTTCGGGTTTTTAAATAAAATATTTCCTATTATTGGAAATTATAGTGATACTTTAATTAACTTGATTTATACTTTTTCTATTCCTTTGAATCTTTGAATGATGACTTGAGTACTGTCATTAGGGAGGTTTTGTTCTTCAAGGCTTGCTTACAAGGTTCGAAACCAGTTTTTGAAGCATGTCCAAAAACGGAACTTAATTCAGAACTGTGGTGCGAAAAGGGCACTTCCTGGTGTTTCAAGGCTGCTAATAATTTCTTTTGCAGTGAGAAAACTCACCAATTTCTTTATCGGTGAAACAATTATACTGGCTCATTAAACCTAATACTTCTTCCAAATAAGTCATTTTAGTAGGAACAACTAGTCAAATTTCTACATTTCTACAAGCATTTCGCTTCTGTTGAGAGTATAAAATTAAAAGAACATTTTGAAACTGAGGACTGCTTTCTTTTCATCCTAATTCTCAATTAGGAAAGCCCCCGTATTCAAGTTGAATGTTTTGAACATCATATTTATGAAACAAAATACTCTCTTTTCAATGATTGAATTGGGCTATTACTTCTATTGAAAGTGGCCTGCAAGATTTCAAATTTTCTATCTGGAATTCTTTTTCTTTTTTTTAATTTAAAAATATAACTAATTTAAAACCATTTTTTCACTGCGATAAAATCTCACCGGATTCTCGCTAATTTGTTCTCAACTCAGAGGCTAGTTCAATTTGATGATGGTAAAATGGCGCTGGGCCCTCACTATACTGAGGGGAAAACAAAGCCAAGAAGTTCCAAAAGTTTCCATTAAAAAAACTGAATTCTCGAGAGCTTAGCGAAAGAATGAGGGGGAAGGGGGAAGTTTTCAGCTTCGGCAGATGTGTTTGAATATGAGTATGTGTTCAGTTTTGTGAGCTAAGCGAAAACGCATTAAATGTATCACAAAGTATGAAGGGGTTTGAAAAATTATAAAAGAATGCATTAAATGCAGAATATTGCTTGAAAATCTCCTAATATCCATGATTTAAACATAAGAAAAATACATGAAAAGCAGAGAGTGGCTGAGGAACAAAAAAAACTGGGGTACTTTAAAATGGTCCAATTTGCTTGAGGGTCAGTGAATTTGAAGAAAAGACCAGAGATTTGGTGATTCATGTTATGATGTAATTCTTACACGGAAATAAACTTATAAAGTAGTAACAAAATTGGTCAGTTATATTTACAAAGTCACCGGTTTAAGGAAATCTAATCCCTCAAGACAATTTATAATCAATAAATAAAACAATGATTTATGTACAAAAATATGGCAGTAAATTTTGGTAGGAATTCACAGATTTAATACACAAGATAATCACCGGTTAGGAGAGATATCCTAATCTTAATTTAGAATTGTAAAGGCAAATTAAAAAGAATCTATGATTCAAATATAGCCTTAATTCTGTGAATTCATTTTGACAGTATACTAAATTACAGCCTTAGAAATTTGTATTACAATACAGCAAATAATGTCTCCTAGTTTGGAAAAATACATCCCTGAGAAAATCAGAATTACAAGTGGCTTGCCTTGGTATTGATTTTTGTGATGAGTAGAGGTGCCTTTCAGTGGATTAAATTAATATTTGCACAGCAGTAATGACAAAGATTTCCTGAGCATCTAATAAAATTGGAAAATACCAGAATATAGAAAAACGCAGGTCATAAAACTTACAGGAATTCGCAATTATATCGAGCAAAAACTTAAAATCGAGTAAGGAGGTTAGCAATCTCCTCAAGAGAAGTTGCTACTGTTCCACTTGAAGAAAAATAAGGACAGACAAAAAGCTTATTCTTTTACTTAGTTGATTCCATAACTCACCTCTTTTTACAGTACAAGAAAATTTATGGTTACAAGAAAATGACCAACCACTGGACAAAATATGAAAGTGAGAACGATTCTCAAAGAAGAAAATTGTTCCACTGACCGAACTCTCGTGGAAAGCACATTTCTCGGTCAAATCTGACAATAGTTTCACTGTAAAACAGACACAGTACGAAGGGTACCATATGATGGAAGATTTATTGGCAGTATTAGAGAGAATAATGACCTTATAAAGCAACGTTTCTGACTTGCAAGTATTCTTTTCGCTCATTTTTTGTACTCTAGTCAAATTATTTTGTAGAACATAATTTATAGCAACACTTTCAGGTGTGACTTACTTGAGATTGCACTCTTTCAGACAAACAATATAAGTGGTTTTTTTTTTTTTTTTTTTTTTTTTTTTTTTTAATCCTCAAAGAAAAAAGAGGGAAGTTTATTAGAAAGATTACAACTTGGAACCGGGGAAGACAGAGCCCCGGCCCGAAGGCCTATAATACATTCTAATAAAAAGGTGGTCGCCTTGAGGCATATGCACCTTATGGAAAAGAGGGGGGTGAAACAAGGACTTACATCAATAAAAAGGTCAGAGTTTAAATAACATAAGAGTTAAAAGAAAAGGGCTGATAATATACGTGGTTAAGCTGTGAAATATTAATTTCTTGGAGTCTAAGCAACTCAATCTCAAATATATATATGCATTAACTATCCAAATTTGGTAACAAATAGTCATGAATATTCATTACATTTCTGACACAATAGTGGAATTCGAAGATTCTTTCTACAACAGTGCCTAGTTTACAAACATAGGTAAGAAGCTCAGTTCTGGCTTCAAGCATTGATGACACAACAGGATTTCTTTTTTTCAATACTTTTAATATTTGGGGTTACGGTATGAAAAACTAATTAAGGAATGTTTGAGTATGGAAAAAAGAAGCAGTCACTGGAGCCATGAAATTGTGTCTCAATAATTGCCCCTTTCACTTTAACAAAAAAAAAATAAAAAAAATTTGAGCCTAAGCGCAAAATTTTTGACTCAAATTTTAATGGAGACAATAACACTTCCAGTAACTAAAGTAAAAAATTAATTCATGTACAGACACTGTGAGTGTTCCTCTAGATCGGAACAAAGGATGAATTAATACGGAGCAAAGAAATCCAGCATTAGAAAGGGCTTTTCCTGCAAATCAACCACTTCCAGTTTTGAAACACAATATTGTGTTGCACGCAACATTCCTCTATGAAAATATTTAAAAACTATCCAAAGGTAATAACAAAGATGTTTGCGCAAGTTTCAATGAAAAAAAAAATATAATGCATTATTGGTAAATAAGCAATAAGAATAATATGTTCTATAGAATAGAGATCATTCTTAATGTGAGAAATTTCAATACCTAACAAGCAACTATTAAGTGTAAATCGAACAGCAAGGGGAACTGAGTTAATTGAAAAGATAGATATTTCTCTTGAATTCATTGGTCAACCAATCAGACAATACTCAGAATTTAATATGTATGCACAGCAAAATACATAAGGTATTGAAAGTGATTACATACAGACGGAGAGCATCAAAAATTAAGAAATTAAGACTCCAGATCCAAACGGAAAGACAACTAAAATTATGGAATAGGTAAAACTCTACTGCCTGCAAAAACGAAGACTTTCCTGAGATCGTCTGAGAAAAATTTAAATGGCAGGGATTTAATGCTGACAGAGTAGTTTGTGCATTGGTCAACCAAATTTTTGAGTAATTATTTAAACTCTTTAAGCAGATCAGGTACAGGTACCATACTTGAGGCACTTTATATTGTTGCTTCATGTTTATAAAATAATAAAATCAAAAATATGTAGAGAGAAATCATTTCAAAAGTATCTGTTAATCTAATAGCCCCCTTTAATAAACAGTTCAGAATGAAGTCTTTTTGAGAGGCATTCATCAACTTTAAGCCACAAGATTATTGCTTACCAGGACATGTTTACGGTAAAGGAGAAAAAAACAAATCAATTTGGTAAAACATAGAAATCTTAAAAAGGTAAATAACACTGTACATGCTGTCACCGATCACTTGCTATCTGCACTACAATTTAGCCCTGACAAAGCCTTTCAACAGGTCAGGGAGCCCTTTCAGGAACTCTTCGTCCTGTCTCCTGAGATCTGCACTCCTGTCCTGAAACACATTAAAGGGTTGGGATTAGAATTCAATTGTTTTAGCATACTATTTTGTGTTAAAATGGACTTTCTTTCATCTACAAATTTGCAACGATTGACTTTCTGATGAGTGCTAAGTCCTGAAGAAGACAGATTACCAGAATGTTATTGTACTTTTGCATTTTGCACCAATTAAAATAATTATTGACAATAATTTGCTTAGATGCTATATGCTAGTGATGCTAGCGATGAGGAAAGTTGGGTTGACTCAGAAAAAATTCCTTCTCATTTGATTGATGGTTTACAAAATAAGAAAAGATACTCAACGATTCTTGCCAAGGATTTTTACTTCAAGTAAAAGCTATTTAGTATTTGGTGTCACCCAATGGACAACACTACAACCTTTATAGACTCACTAAAATTGTTTCTTTCCCAATGATGCTACTTTAAAAATGCATCCGAAAACACTTAAGGAGACTTGCAACCAGCTTTACCTCACATTTATTTATTTACAATTGGTACATGGGAGTCAACATAATGGCTATCATACAAGTCAGTGTTCACACAAGGAGAAACGTAAAATTTTTTATTTGTAGGACGAAATTCACTTAATCCTTTAAATGGACTTGAAAAAAGATAGTTTCTAAGATTAATGAAAAATTGTTCGAGGTCTGATTCTCTGAACATTGTTTTCAAATTGGAGGGGGGTGAATTAAACTCTCTTACAGAAGCGACTTTAATATTAGTTTCTGAGACTCTGTAGGATGTTAATGGAGTAGAGATATTACAGCTTCTGATAGTATAAGAATGAGATCGTAGAAGATCATTAGGTTTTATGTATCTCTTTTCAACTGCATATTTTAATCATTCAAAGAAGTGTAGAGATGTCACTGAGAAAAGTTTGCGAGAAATAAGCAATTCTTTACAATCACTATTATAGACAATTTAACAATAACTTCAAGCACTCCATATCAAATTTGACATTAAAGGATGATTTAGAATAGAACTATGCCTGGCTTCATATCCAAGGACACATGGACTTTGCACCACAATATACGGTCTTTGTTACAGCTGATTGTCACGAGATTTGAACGAAAAGTAGTATTATTTTAGGAGAGGTTTTGGCTGAACTGAACTTATTTCTTCTAGAAAATACTGTTCCTCCCTAAAAAAACTTCTGTGAACTGAAATTACATTGTACCAGAAAAACCACATACTATCCTCCTGGAGATAAAAGGTCGAGGCTGGCAACATAAAAACAAATACTTACATGCAGGGACGAAGTTTGCTGTTGTTGCTTCTGTTCAATTGGTGTTCCGACCGCGAACAATTCAGAAACAGGTGAGGGTTTCCTGAAAAATTAAAATATATTCAGAATATGGAAGAGAGAAAGGAAGCTATGAATAGAATCGGAAGAAGTTAGTGTGAATGAAGTTTTTCAAAACATTTTAGGGTACTTATGTGCACATAAAATTGATTTAGTTCGCTGACAGCTGGGACAAGGCAACCCCCCGCATTTTTAAAATTATAATTTTATCATTTTGCTCCCATTTCATATTTAGGAGATAAGACAAACAACCTTTACTACTTGAAAGCGCAAAAGTAAGTTTGTGATGCTGCAAACCAAGGTGGACAATTCTCAAGTGCAGGCAGCAAAATGCAGTACATTTCATCTGGATAATTGGACCGCATTTTGCATATAGAAACTAAAATTGCTGGCTTGACTGAAAAAACGCTTATGCACGGAGGGAAACAAATGGTACAGGCATTCCTTCTAAACTGAGCCAAAAATTGTAGTTCCCGATTGCAAAAGATAGTCAAATTGATTATAATCTAGTGAACCACTCAGTAATAATAGATTGATGGACAGAATCAGAAACAAGGAACAAAAAACATGATTCAGTTTGAGTTGGCGGGGCAAAATGTGTTGACATGAATTTTCCAAAAGCTAAAACATTGTAGCAATCTCCCTTGATGCTGGACCTACACCAACAACTTTCAAAAGATCACCAATTCAAGGCTGTTGATTACATTAATAGCAGATTCAATTCTTCATCCAACAATGTGTATGAATGCAAGCAAAACGGAAGCACTCGCAGAGTCAAGGTTAGGTTGTATAATATATTATAACACAGAGCATTTTGGGACTTAACAGTTCCTATCACCAGTCGAACTAAAAGCTAAAAAGACGTGAAGAAACTTGAAATGACATGATCCCTCACACAAAAAGTTTGGGCAAATAACCCGGTAAACACACCACCTCATTACAGGAGTAATGAAAGTCATTTCGTCTTTTTTTTGGCACAATCAGCGGTTTTGCCACGTTTAAAAGCTGACATCTCAGCTAATTTTCAAAACTTTGGAACAGCACCTTGGAGGAAGGGCCTGACTGTGAAATTAGTTTGCCAGTGGGATAGCCCAGATATCTCACTATCAAAGCAGTTGATTGGGACTCAACAAATCCTATAGTGTCGTTCAATTCTGTTCGTCACAGCGACTTGAATATTTTCATGATCAGGCGGACAAGACATACATTCATGCACTATGGTATACAAATTTAGCTCCTTACCCTTTGTTGCCAGGAGGAAGGTAATTGCGGGCAACGAGTCGCTGCTCTAAATTGAAGCTGGGGTTGCTCTGAATATCTATTGCAATTGCGGAGAAGTTCCCCTCCATTAACACCCTCTGACTCAAAGGTGGCATGATGTCCATCTTCTCTTTGGCTATAAACAAAAATTCATCAGATCAGAGGATAGAAAATCGCACAAGTTTTTTAATTGAAGGTCCTTTTAAAATCTAACACTCCTTAAAAATCACAGAATGATAATCCGTTAGCCACCACAATATTTGCAGTGTTGGGTGTGATAGGGAAAAGTCTCCGTTGCAGCATTTCAGAATCTCCAATGCTAATTCATGTCTTGAGATTGAGTCTAACGGGTCATTTTTCTGAATTTATTTCCCTTAAAATATTGTAAAATTATGAAAAATATTCAGTAATAACTTCCGTGATATGCGTGCAGTTCCACTCCTCGAAATCACTGAGATATTTACAGAGATACTAAAACACCGCAATTGAGAAGTACCTATCTTGCACCCAGAGCTTCAATTTAAATATGCTTAGGATGAGGTTAATGTTTGTCAGTCATACTTACAGATGGCATGACAAATTTGACAAAAGAATGAGAATAATGATGACCTTTCATGGTGTCATCAAACCTAAAATCTGACATTGTGCTCAGACAGAAAACAGTTAAACCTAACAGAAAATTAAAGAATATTTTTCTGACTCTCCTGCCAATTTGTTAAGAATCTGAGCCTTTACAATTTCTGCAGTTTCAAATTACCTTTGTTTTTTGGGGGGCAAGAAGAGACCAAAATCTTAGCAATGCAATTATTCAAGAATCAAAACTTAAGAAATTCAACTGACAATGCTTTCTACAAATAAGTATTAAAATTTCTCGCGTTTTGACATAAATTACCAATTTTTAATGCTTTCCCTTCCAAATGCAATGGGCCTCCAGACAAGGTACGAACTGAAGCACCATGCACAAATTTTTTCTTCAAAATTTCACAAAGGAAAGAAATTGCACAATGGGAGGTCTGAAAATCAACTCATAAACAAGACATGAGTGTGTACAATTAACATTGATCAGATCTATTGTCAATCTCTGATTAGCTTTTCCTCCCCTTAGAAATGTAATTTCAATCTCTTCAATGAACTTTTTAGATTTTTCATGAAACTTTACATTAGAAAAACTGCACAACAACACTGCAAAAATTCCTTGCCACTGACTTGCTGAATAGGCTGCCTTGTACAAGAATATCAGACAAAGAAAATGGGCCTGTTATGGGCTTATGAGAGGCAATTATTAGAGTATCTACGAGCTTTAAACGAATTTTAAATCACATATTATATGAAAAGAAAATTTCCTTACCGAGAATAAAAATGGTGAAGATGAGGCCAGTTAGGTGAGGACTCCTCTCTGACACTCTCAGGAGTGGCGTTGCAATGATCGTGCGGACTTCTGCAAGCGCGCGATCCACGACAAGTGGTTCACCAGTTTTCACCGCCTGGAATATAAAATAGGAAAATTAATTGAGCGAGACCTTCTTCAAGTTGGTGGTTAACACACAAGATAGGTTTACAGATATTCATCAGTGTTATTACTTCACAACTCAGTTTAACATCAGTCCTTTGTTGCTGAATGAGGTGTCTTAGAAATGACAGATTTTATGAGACGAATACTTTTATTCAATATAATAAAGAATATCAACGAACACTCGAAATACACTCCAATACAAAAACAGCTACACACAGTTGACGAATACATGACGATACACACTGTTAACATCTTAACAAATCCCAAACAAGTGCCTCTGTCTCCGCGCACACTGGCTGAGACCAGCTGGCCACACCAGACTTGCAAACACTGCCTTATGACAGCTTTTTGTACAACACCCCACTGATACATACAACAATGCAACACTCTACTCTGAATTAAAAAAAAAGTCTGATTTTAGTAGGATTGAGGATGCAACCCTACTGAAAATGCAAGAATCTTAGAATGAATTGGTCATACAGTTACAATTGGCATATGTTCTGCTTGGCAAGTTGATTTTCCTTTTTTAAAAGAAAAATGTAAAAAATGACAAGGTTGGCACAAACTTCCTAAATAGAAGATGAAATTTCTGAGCTGCTGAAATGAGCTCTGTCTAAGAATAGGTATGCTAATTCAGAGGCTTGAAAGACAAGTCGTATAAATGCAATTTTTGAAAAATTGAGATTTTCATATAATTTCAATTAGCCTTGAAATATTTCCTTTGAAATATTCTCTGCTAAACTCCGATTTTTGCACATGAAAAAGTGAGTTTGAAATTTCTTCCTGCCATAAGGCTCCAAATTTTTTTAAACTTAAGATATATATATTTTCTCCTGACAGCAAAAACTCCACTTGCTCACCTGGTCCTCCAGGCACCACAATCAATAGTAAAATAAACCAAGTTTTACTCGGACCGCATATTGCAAAAAGTAACCGATGTGCTCCCATGTTGCTAGGGTTGTCCAAAATACATTCCTTGCAATTACATTACGAATTCACACAAAAAATTAAATTAACAAATGTAATTTTCGTCTTGAATGTGTAGTTTATTGGGAGTAAAGATAAAACTTGTTTAAAGGATCAGTTTATATTTGGAAGGTGAAAGAAGTTGCACAAATTTTAGCGGCATTGGAATGCTCTTGGTTCCTTTTTGTAAAATGCAATCCACTTAGGTATTTATAAACCCTGCTTATGGTAGAACTACAGTGATTGAATTATTGCAGAGATAACTTGATATAGAAATACAAGATCTGGCATGATTTTGTGGTACTGACCTTAAGGCATTTGACCAGAACTGATTGGCGACGATGAAGGCTCATTATGGTCTTTACCAGTCGCTTCTTTCCTCCAGTGGTGAGTTCCGGCTGAGGATTGCCAACTAGTTGGACCAGTTCATCAATATTTGACTCCGTGACACTCATTAGCTGGCGATAAGTGAAGGATGCCACAACCGGGTAGAATTTATGTAGGCGATTTGCACTGTTCTTTAGCCAACCAAATACAACTGAAACAGAAAACCTTGAATTAGAAAGGACACCCCAAAACTCCGTATCAAACTTATTTTGAGACATTTGGCCCGGAAAGACCCAGCTGCCTGGATTTTATCAAAATTTATTTCGATGACCAAAGTACAAAACCACGCATCTCCGCTTCTGACATTCCTGATTTCCTATCGTAGGTACTTTCCGTACCTTTTTCTTGGAAAACTTACGCAATGTTTTGAAAAATTAACTTATTTTCTTGCTCTGGGAGCAGGATGTAATGTATGAATTTCAAGCAAAAAATTTGGCTCATCTCAAAAAAATATGAGAGAAGCCGAAAATTAGAAGCACCCGATACGCGGATACATGGTTTCACATTTTGGCCATCGACAGGCACAAAATTATTTATGATTCATCTGTATTGACATTGTAAGTAACGAAAAATCCTAATATTAACAAAATTAGTTTATTTTATAGTGCAATATCTATAAAATATAAAGAAATAATTTTAGATGTGGGTAAAACTGAACCTGATCTCATGTCTACTCTTAATTTTCGGTAAAAATATAGCCTTAACGACAGACTGACGTGCTTTAGACTGTAACAGAAGATGCCCCATTGGATTCTTGCACGTACTTTTATGGTTCAAATAGAGACAGTTGATCTATTGTCGCAATCTAAAGGTGCATAGACTTCTTCGGCGCGACTCTACAATTGATGCCTTATAAATATCAATTTATCAGTTGCCAGTTCATTAAAAACGCTGCCAGGTGTTGGCAACTTGATAAACAAATTAAATTAACGAATGAGGAAAGGAGGAGCAACAATTTACATGCGTCATGAGTCTCATATAAGTGGGTAAGAAAAGAGAGCGCAAAAAATTGTTATTAAAAAAGTAGAGATATGGAAAAAACATGATCGTAATATCAAAACATTTGAAATTGAGCTAGGACTATGTGTTCCAATACACGACGATCAGGATGAAGAATAGGGGGTGGGGGGTGGGTGTGAATCTCCACGATTTTAGCTTATTCACTTTAAAACAGGAGAGAATAAAAGATGAAGAAATAAAGGATTAGTAGCTTAGTAGCTGGTAGTTTAGTAGAACAGGGGGAACAAAAGTAAGCTCTGTTAGGGGTTACCCCCCCCCCCAAGAAAAACAAGAAGTGGTAACATTGATACATTTTTATAAGAGAGAAGAGGAGAATTGTAGTTATTAGTAATAAAATTCGGTTATTTTAAAGCGGTGCCATAGCAACTACGGCCTTTAGGTAAGACTACAGAGATTAAGTTAGTTGGCAGGGAAGTACTGGTAAAATGAAAAGAAGAGGGAGAAGAAAAATAGTAGCACAGGAAGTTGTATAAAGGAATTTGGTCCAAGGACTAAAAATCGAAAGAGATAAAAAAAACCCATTTTCATAAGTCTACTGAAATGGGCTGCCTAAAAATCAGTACTCAAACAGTACTTTTTCAGTGCATTCCCGAGAAATTCAGTACCTCCTCAACAGAAATAGTCAGTACTTTTTTAGTGCCTCCAATTGACGAAATTCAAAAAATTTCAAAAATTTGAATTCCTCACTCAAATTGTGACAAAAACGACAAACCATTCCGGACCTTCAGGCAGAATTTCCGCACTTTTTCAGTACTTCCGGACCGTACTTAAAAAATCCGTACTATTTCCGGACTTTCCGGGAATTTCGGACTTGTAGACACCCTGAAGGGTGGACGAAGGAGAACAAGGACTGGTAAGCGGACTTTGAAGTGTACCTTTGAATTAGAGGTGTAAATTTTAGATTCAAATCTTTAGCTCATCCATCATCCAAGGCGGAGCTTGAAATTTATTATAACTAAATGATCCATGATAAATGTATAGAAATAATAAATATATGCTTAGTTTTGAATTATGTACGTATAATTTAATTTTTAACAAAATCATACCTTGGCTTAGGAAATGATTGGCCTGGATCGGAATGTCAAGGCTTAAGGCTTTCTGGCTTGCTAGAAACACAGCGGACTCTGAAACAATATCAACCACAAATTAACAACGTGTAAAAACGGAGAATTGTCCATAATCATGAAAAAAATCTCTACTATAAACCCATTCAGGCTGAAAAAACCAGACTCAAAAATTTCAAATAGATTTACTAAAAACTTCATGTCAAATATAAAATATTGTCAAAATATTATACACAAATATTTGTAAATCATGCCAATAAAAATATGTCTCATACAATTTCATGAAACACTTAAAAGGACTCAAGAGGTCTTAAAAAATCAACCACTGAGAAGGCAATGTCCAATTTTATTTTAAAAAGATACCCAGTCAAGTCTTAGTGAAACTCAGCTTCTCTAGTAACAAAAATTGTTTCACACCTTTTCTCTGAAACTTCAAAACCATGTTCCAGGAAAACCTCCAGGATACATTTTCAGTCAAATTGAGTCTCGTAAAATTTACATTAAAAAAGTCAGAAACCTAACAATTTTCAAAGAGTTTTTTTTAGTACTTTTTGCAACAATTTAATTGTTACAAAAAAACTGACGACGTACTGGAAGTTCTTCTACACTCTTTTACACAACGTTTAAAAAGTGTTAATTAAAGCAAAAATAGACCCGAAAAGAGTCACCTAAATCATGATTTTTTTAGAGAGATCTTTGTAAAATATGCAAGTTCTTTAAAAGCCCATCATTAACAGTCATCGTTATCGTGAATTTGGCAGTCTCACGTTTTTTTTACGGGTTGCATAATTAGCCCCTAAAAAGTCCTCGGAAGTTAGAGTAAACTTCTGCAGAAAAAGAAAATACGTTACAAAAAGGATGAGAATTCGGTTAGTTTCCGGATCGGACATTACGAATTTAACTTCTAAGTAAGTCAAAGTGCATGCTCGGGAAATAAGCCTCGGAAGAAAAAGAGGTCAGCCTGACATTCTTCCGGAAAAACCACGAATGATGGAGAGAATCGAAGAAAATTGCTACACGACCTCAAGGAGCACCGAACTAAATTTGAAGAAAAAAAGAAGAAAAAACACAGTTTCCGCGGGAAACTCTAATTCCAATCTCCTGACCCCACGCGACAAAAATTGCTCCTGTTGCCGTTAAATAAGTCTCGGTGAAGTGAACTAGGGCCCATTGGACAATAAACGGTCGCATATTTTCATGATCTGGTAACATTTCCCGGCAAAAAACCGGAAATTTCACCCAGGACGTCGATCCACCCTCCAAGGACAGGAACACAAATCCTCTATAAACGGCGAAAAGTATAAAGTAAAATTTAGGCGTAGGAGGTCAAGGAGAAGAGGAATCAATTAAATTAAAAAACATAAGATAACCCGACGCCTGAATTTAAATCTCTTAAAACAACAACACCTCGGAAACTCACGGCATACTACAATTTGGCAGAGAAAAACATGACCTTTTCTACCAAACAGCATACATCCATGTCAACGTCGTTAAGATTGTGCAACTTTTTTTTATGGTACAAGAATCCGAAATCAGCTACATCGTAAATCTGTCTGCCAAAATTTTCAGAATAATTTAAAGAAAATTTGAGGCAAATAGTGCATATACAGCTCTCTACCAATTGAACAGTTGAATATAGGCACAATCATAGGAACGTTGACGCGGGTACATGCTGTCGTAGGGGTTCTCATTTAACGCATTTTAGGACATGATTACCAAAGAGAGGAAAGAATAGTCAGATGAATTTTCATGTCCTCCATCGGACAAACTTCCTGCAAAAATTACGGAAAGAGACACAACGATGCGATTTGGTACGGGATGTTGAGTTAAGCCAGTGTGTCCTCTTTAAAATAAAGCCCACATGTGATAAACGGTAGGATATCAACTATTCCAACCCCTGGGTAGGCCAATTTGCCTAGCCGTGGATTTGAAGGCGCGAGGGATATTCCGCTGACAAGACGTCTATGCGCTTTGTACTTGGCCTGTTAGAATAACATTTCCTTTCGTTAAGGAGGCGCCAGCGATATTGATTGCATTGTGGTTAAGGATAAATTCACGTAGTGAATTTACGCTAAAAATACATGATAAGATCCGTCCAAAACCGCAACTTTCCATGATTAACATCAAAACCCCGACTTTTCAAAGGGCGATACCTCGGTTAATATTGAATGTAGAAAGTTGCGGTTTGGACGGATCTTGTTACTTTGAGCTAATCTACAAAAATCAAGCATCTAAACACGATTCTGTGAAAACTGGCCCATTATTGCGATAGTTGAGTGAAATTGAAGGACCTAACTGAGAAAATTCCCTCGGAGAATTACGATGATTAGCCACTTTCTTAGGTAAACAAACGTTAACGAAAACGTTAATGAGTTACAAATTTAAATGATGCTAGGATTTTCAAGAACTTAAAATTAGAGGTCTAAATTAAATCTGCAAACCTGTCATTTATTTTCTGTGGTATCATTTATATTTTAAGTTCTGCGAAGGCAAATCACTGTATCCCTTGTAAAAAAATGTCGTCATTTAAACGAATCTATGCAATCTTGATGGAAACTTTTGTGGGAACTCCTAAAGGAGTGGAGCGTGGAGCCCCCATGGAGGCGGAAAAGTATACGGCCTTTAGCCGACATGCGAGCGCGGGTATTCTTGGCGCCTTCAAACGCACGGGTGGGCAATTTAAGCTACGAATGGAATAAATTAATTGAATCCTGCCATTCATCGCGTATCTACGGTTGAAGTGCGAAATCACGTATCTCCATTTCGGTACTTTGAAGGTGCTAGGACGTTCGCCCAAAAGTTTTTTTTTCCATAACTATAGTCTTCCTAACACCCCTTTTCTACTCGTTTTTTGTTTCATCACTTCAAGTCCGACGAACGAGATTTCCTACTGGCTTACTTCCTAGTTACTTGAATGCTTGGACACAGGTTGAGCAGGGAGAGAAGTCTTCAACCAGACCTCGAAGCTTACATCGGATTCCAGGAGACAGCTCTTGGCCCCATTATATTTTAGAATGAAGTAACGTAACTCACAAGTTAAAATATTTAACTTATGAGTTACGTTACTTCTTTAAAATTGAAGTAACGTTAAACTCCTAAAGCCAAAGTCAGCCGGATGCCTTACTCGAGGACTAACGGGACGTATTTCTGTCAAACGGAACTATGTGCATAAAGACATCAGTACTGAGACCCATAAGAATACATGCATAACAGGGCTCACGTCATAATACACATTGTTCCGTTTGGCAGAAATACGTTCAACTGAAATGGGACGAAGAACGAGCGAGAGAAAAGTATCAGGAAACAATTTTGTAGGAAAAATGGACCGCTTGAAGCAGGAAGAAACCAAGCCACATCAGCAATTGCCAAATTTAAGAGGGAAATTCCATTTGTTACATGAAAACAGTTGTGCAGATTTTTGTGAAACTCTCGCTGAATTTTTTAAGTACACAGTACGAAACAAATTCTTTTAAAATTTCCATAGGAACCCGCACAAACGTACTCTTGTAAAACACTAAATTACCCTGTTAAATTAGGCGATGACTGATTTGGCTTGGTTCCTTTCTACTAAACGCGGTCCAAATTACCTAGCACCTTTGAAAAACGTCAGATCCTCCGTTCCATTTTCGAGGGGAAACAAGCCTAAAACTTTACAGAATAATCTGCTGATGGAAAAGAAAAATCAATGAAGTTTTTGATGAATCACGCTGACTGGTTTTTCAAGGAGATCGCGAGGTTTTACATCAGCATCTCATAACAAGTACGCATCATTCCGTCAGCGCGCCATGCTTTTCGTAGTATGTCAGTCGGGAAATCACACGGAGCAATGCTACCTATTTTTGCGTTCAAATTTTCTTACAAAACAATGCAAAAATGAAAAACCCGTGCAAGACGGAAAAAGGTGGAAAAGCGCGGGAAGGGATTAGATAGAATTGGATTATATTTTTCAATAAGGAACCACTATCTCTGGTTCTTCTATAGAAGCACCTTTCTGCATAGGGAAACCGACGGCACATAAGTTGTTTCTAGAGTGAGCCAGAAATGGTGGTTCCTTATTGCAAAATGTAATCCAATTAAAACAGCTTTCGAGATGCGCTTAAAAGAACGACCCGAGTTTGACATACTCTTAATAGATTTTATTTTCCCCGAATCCTGCAATTGAGGACACCGCCCCAAGAACAGCCTATAACTGGAAACCGCGTTTTGTGAAAAACGTATTTAAAGTTTTGTCTTAGATGTATTGCGCAGACTTTTCTATGCAGGTATCCAGGTACCCTGATTTTGGTGTTTTTGGGTGACCTAACCCTTCTATATTATTATGTTCCTATTATTATGTTTTATTCCGCACCACTTGTTTATTTTTAATCTTCGTGTAAAAGGCACCCGTTTGCTAAATACAATATTAGCTGGAGCGCACATCAGCTATGCATTCACGACTGCAAAAATGTCGAAGGAAATCGACAAGCCCAGCGTACATGGAGGCAATTTCCATTAAAATCTTCCGTCACATTCTTACGGCGCAATGATACAACTATTTTAACCCTCCGGAATGCGTAAGGTATCTCGCCGCATTTGAAGGCGTTTTCAAAACAGCCAAGTTCCGATACCCGGATAATCGTTTTGCATACTTCATATTCTTTTGTTATATTCCGCAACACTTATTAACGTTTATTTATAATCCTCGTATAAAAACCACCCATTTGCTATATACAATTCTAGCTGGAGCGCAAGCTATGCATTCACGACTGCAAAAATGTCAAAGGAAATCGACAAGCCCAGCGTGTATGAAGGATATTTCAATTGTGATCTTCTGTCGCATTTCTAAGGCGCAATGATACAACTATTTGAACTCTCCGGAATGCGTGAGGTATCACGCCGCATTTGAAGGCGTTTTCAAAACCCAAGTTCCGATACCTGGATTATCGTTTTGCATACTTCATATCCTTTTGTTATATTCCGTACCACTTGTTTATTTTTAATCCTCGTATAAAAACCACCCATTTGCTAAATACAGAGCGCACTTCAGCTATGCATTCACGACTGCAAAATTGTCAAAGGAA